AGCTGTATGGAGTGTAGAGTTCACTGTGAGTCACTTTGCGGTTATGATGATTGAGATGATGGAAAGTTGAATAGAATGGTTGTTTGATCCCAGGGTGATACAGCACTGGTAAAGCTGTGCCAAATAACAGTGTTTATCAGGGTAAACAGCAAAATAATTACCTGTCATGTGCGCAGCCAGATAGATGGACTTTTTATTACGAGTTCTAATAACTTTAACATGTCACATTCTAAAATAAATAACAATCCAAGTAATTATCCAATAATAACAGCACTCTGCTGTAAATGTAAGTCTGATTATTGTATTATAGCAGAGTTCACCTGGATTTATAGATCATTGTTTTACACTGTAAATATCTTTAATTAAACATTAAAAAGAAAAAATAGCTAAAAATAATTATTATGAAGTTATTTCTGTTATTTTAGTGCATTTTTCTGGCGTCCAGCAGCTGGAATATTAATGTTTTTTCTTTTGGTTCCTTTAAATCTTTTCTTAAAACTTTTGGGAATATTTGATGTGTTTAGTTTCAATGTTTGTATTCTTATTTATTTGTTTTTGTTTATTAATCGGTGCTCGAGTTCTTATCGCCGTTTTATCGGCCTGGTTTGGTTTTTATTTGTTATCTCTGTTCAGCACTTTGGAACATTGTTAAGACTTAAAATAGAGAATAAAGTTAATTATTATTATTATTATTATTATTATTATTATTATTATTGATTACTGATTGTTTGGCCGATTGTCTTTTTCTTCTTATCAACCATCAATAAAAATGAACCAACATGTTCTCTGTTGAAGAGTTTTTACAATAAAAAGAAACAAACTGGTTGGAGGCTCACAGTTTATTTCACACACTGATTATTTACACTTGATGCCACAGACGATCAATAAATGAACCATTTCCAGATGATAAATCAACACATTGCTGATGTTTCTCAGTAACTGACAGTTTCCAGAGGATTCCTGTCTAAAGTCTTCAGGAGAAATGAATATTGAATGATGGAAGGCAGCTGGTTCCAGTGATTGGTTATATCTGAGGTTGCAGTGATTGGACAGTAACTGTGAGACTGTGCAGAATTCAAGGTTGAATTTGTGTTAATTGTTTGCAGCTTCCCGGAGGAACTAAAACAGAAATAAATTATGTTATTTAGAGGAAAGTTGAGTCACTAATGCTGACCCAACTGCTGGGTAGCTGGAATAAAGTATGTGCAGCCGATGTTATACAGAAATAAAAACAGAATTAAGGGTCCAGAATGTGGCAAGAATGTAAAATAAAAGTATGTTTTAGTTTTATTAGTGTATAATCAACTACAATTATAAACCGCTGTGTTCTCGTTACCTTTGAATTTATATGTACAGACAGTCCACCAAAGGAACACTGGCCCCTTAGATGATCACATGGAGCAGAAGTTGTTCTGTCAGCTGTGAATGGTCAGTGCGTCTCTCCTCCTGGAACAAACCGCCTCAGTGACCTTTATTTACCTCCGCTGCTCTCTCCGGTACACTTGTGTTTCTTCAGGATGTGCAGCTGAGTGAATCTCCTGTCGCACACGCTGCAGCTGAACGGTCTCTCTCCCGTGTGAACTCTCAGGTGGCGGCTCAGATTCCCTCCTTCTCGAAACGTTTTACCACAAACGGAACAACTGAACGGTTTCTCCTCCGTGTGAACGGTCGAGTGTCGCGTCAGAGTTCCCTTATCTCGAAATCTCCTCCCGCACACTGAACAGCTGAAGGGCTTCTCCCCTGTGTGGACACTCGAGTGCTGCGTCAGATGTTCCTTTCGTGCAAATGTCTTCCCGCAGACGGAGCAGCTGAACGGTCTCTCCCCCGTGTGGATTCTCATGTGTTTGGACAGTTTGCTCCCGACGCTGAAGCTGGCTTTACAGACTGAGCAGCTAAACGGTTTCTCTCCCGTGTGAACCCGTATGTGTGAGGTCAGAGTGGAGCTCCGGGCAAATCCTTTATCGCAGAAAGGACAGCTGAAGGGTTTCTCTCCCGTGTGGATCCTCATGTGCGTGACGACGTTCCCTCTCTGTTTGAAAGTTTTCTTACAGACGGAGCAGCTGAAATGTTCTCCTTCTGAGTGCAGTCTCATGTGAGCGCTGTACGATTCCTCCCGGGTGTAACTCTTCCCACAGATTGAGCAGCTGAAGTGTTTCTCCTCAGTGGGGACGTCGCTGTCCTCCTGCACGTACACCCTGTAGCCGAAGCTCATCGCACATTCAGAGGAGCTGAACGAGGTGTCTCCGGTGTTACACTCCATAATCCTCACAGGTCCTTCCTCGTCACGCAACCGGCGCTCTCTGGTGTCCTCCCAGTCCCAGCTGTCGTCGCTCTCTGGCTCAGAGGAGTCTGACGTACTGTCGTCAGTGGCTGTTTCTGGTCCTCCACAGTCTCTGTTCTCTTCAGCATGATGAAGCTGTGAGGACTGAGGTTTCTCTTCATCGTCTTCTTCACTCTTCACAGGGACAGGAGTGAA